CCTGGGATCATGACCCGAGCTGAAGGCAGTCGCTTAACCAACTGAGCCACCCAGGCGCCCCCTCAAATGTGGCTTTAAGTGGTTTCCAACCCCTATGTACTTTCCATCAATGTAGGACAAGACAATCAGGAAAGACCCTTTCTGGCACTGAGGGACAAAACCACTAAATATGAAAAACCTGACTTTTGGTCAGTGATGCTTTCAAGGAAAGATTTTGATCAAAAGGGTGAAATGTAAAAATTATTAAACAGAAACCTCACTAAAGTGGACTGGGGATGGAGAAGGGGGGGGGTCCCTGTACCACTCCATGTCAATTACAGGAAGAACTGTCAATTACAGACTCCTAACAGAAAATTTTCAATAGGAATCATCAATTATAGGCCTAATAGAGAAAGATGTATTTTGCATCTCCTACAAGAAACTGACTAGTCCTGCAACTCAGCCAAAGAGAAACTGTCATCATACTGGCTCTGGCTTTTCTCCAAAGACTTTTTGTTCAAAACAACCCCTCCAAACTTTCTCAGTCTCCATAAAATAATGTTCCTCTCCTTTGTTTGTTAGACTTGCCTATGGCTTTGCCATAGTTTGATTGTTCCTAACTGCAATTCTGTATTATTCCCAAATAAGTCCATTTTTGCTGGTAACTTATTTTTAAGGTTAACTGGTACAAACTTTCAGTTGTAAAACAAGTCATGGGTACCTAATGTATAGGATGGTGACTACAGTTAATTGTACTGTACTGCATATTTGAAAATTGCAAAGAGATGTTAAAAGTTCTCAACATGAGGAAAAAAAACTTGTACCTATGTTAGGTGATGGATGTTAACTAGACTTATGGCTATGATCATTTCACAATATATAAATACTGAATATTATTACCCCTGAAACTAATATGTAGTGTTAATTATATCTCAATTAAAAAACTGTTAGTATCTTAAATATGCAATGTAGTGTCAGGTGACGGACTCAGGACCATAAGCTGCTTCTTCGGCGAACTGACAAAACTGGCGTTAAAAGTTCATGCTAACTAAAGAAAGGAACTTTCAAATTCTGTTTAACTTCTAGAATACTAAGAGCAAAATCCAACAGCTATAGGTTTTGTTTCTGCAAAGTGATATCTGACGAACTAATTTCAGGGGAGGACGCTCGGGAAGAAGTAACTTGTGGGAAACTGCCTTCTCCGCAGGAAGCCTAGAAGCCAAGCCTATCAATGGTGTGGCTATGAAACTAGGTGCTTCCAATACCGTTTCCTAAAAAGAACTGCCTACATCCATGGAAGTTGCCTGCATTAAACGCCACACTCCAGCTCCCGTTCTTCCTTTCTTTTTCGTAAACGCTAATGAAATCCAAACGAGTTAAAGGCCCCGAAGTTTGGAAAACCGTGGGTGAGGCAAAGTAGGAACTGCAAGTGAGTGCCGCGCTCGGGGTCGCAGGGGATGTGGTGACGCTCCGGCGCCCAGCACGAGGACGCCTGCCGCAGCGGTTGCAAGGAGCTGGAGGGCCGGCCGCCGGCGAGACGGGGTCCGAGGGGCCGGCAGGGTCCGGCGCGCCCACAGCCCCGCCGACCCTCCCTCCGCGCTGGGCTCGGCAGAGGGGCCGGCCCGCACCCACCTGGCCTCCAGCAGCAGCGGGGTCTCCGGCCACTTCGCGGCCAAGTGGGCCGTCACCGCCTTGGACGCCGAGGCCGTCCGGGCGCCGAGCAGCGAGAAGCACAGCGCGGTGGAGCCCAGGAGCAGCCGCACCACGTCTGCGGCCTTTGCCATGGCGCGGAGAGGGAAGCGCGAGCCCCTCGGACCCGGCGCCCACAGCCCGCAGCCGCCACGGTACAGCCGGCTCCTCCCGTCGCGCGGCCGCCCACTTCCGGTGGGGGGAGCTCGAGTCCGTTACTCGGAGCTCCGGGCCTGGCGGGCAGCGAGCGCATGCGCGTCCCCCTCCGGCGCCGTCCGGGGAGCCCCCCGGGGCAGGATCCTGGATCCACGTAGGTGCGGGCGGTGCCGGAACGAACGGCCGCGTGGCCGATGCTCCGGCCAGTCTGCGATCCGGGCCTCCTGTTCTCGGGCAGAGGCTGTGGGACACGGGGAGGGGAGGCTGGCTCCCGGAGACCGAACTGGGATTGCCGCCGACTAAGGCTGGGTGGACATGCCAAAATTTGGAAGCAAAGGCAGGAACTGTTGTGGATTTTATCCACGTTTACACAGGCGGAAAATAAGGCCCATCGAGGTTCATTTGTCTACTTTATGGGCTTCTAAATTTTATTGCATGTTAGAATCATCTGGTAGGGCTTTGAGAAAGCCTGATGCCCAATAGTATTTAACCCACCCCGCCCTCCTCCCCATCCCGGTGATTCAAGAGGGCAGTCAGGTTTGGAAACCAGTGACATCACCTGGAGGGCTTGTTAAAACCCTGGGTATTGGGGGACATCTGGGTGGCTCAGTCTGTTAAGCGTCTGCCTTCGGCTCAGGTCATGATCCTCGGGTCCTAGGATCGAACCCCAAGTCAGACTCCCTGCTCAGTGGGGAGCCTGCTTCTTCCTCTCCTCCCCCAGCTTGTGCTCTCTCTCTCTCTCCTTGTCAAATAAATAAATAAATAAAATCTTAAAACAACAAAAACACCGGTTGTTGGGCCTCATCCTAGTGTTTCTGATTCTGTAGATCTGGTGTGTGTGTGTGTGTTGGGTATGGGGAGGGGGCAAGAATTTGCGTTTCACATCTATCACGTTCCCAGGTGATACTGATAATGCCGGCTGGAAACCCCGCTTTTAGCCTTTGGACTCAAACGTGGTCCACAAGGTAGCAGCAGCATTACCTATGAGCTCATTAGAAATGCAGAATCTTAGGCCCCCACCCCGGACCTACTTAATCGAAATCCCCAGGTTAACAGGAACCCCAGGTGGTACTGTGCTCATTAAAGTTTCAGAGGATCTGGTTTAGAGGGTGACAGGTGAAAAATGCATGGGAAAGTGACAGTAGCTTATGTCATTATCAGCCCAAATCACACA